TGGAAACTTATCTGAGACCTGTCCACCATGGGTGACCCTGCTGGTATTTAAAATACCCACGGCACAGCTTCCAGAATCACAGCAACACACAAGCCACCACAGTACGACAAACTGACAGATGAGGGTGGAATATGAAGTGTGTGTATGTGGGGGGAATTAAAGAAACATAAACAGAGTCTTTGGAATCCTAGAAGGCCGAATGAAAAAAAAAATTTGAAGAAATAATGGTTAAAATGTCTTAAGTTTTATTAAACACACAAATTTACAGATTGAGCAGTTCAAGAAACTCCAACCAAAGTTAAGTACAAAAACCCAAAAACTAAAAACCTTACCTAGGCACCAAAGGTAGAATGAAAATACTGAAAGCTACCAGTGAAAATGACATATTGTATCAAGATGAACAATGATTAAAGTCCTGCTGATTTCTTATAATAATCTATGGAGATCAGAAGTCAGAAGAAAGTAGAAAACACTTTTAAAGGACTCAAAGATCAAAGAAAAGAAACCAAAAAACAAACCTTGTCAAGCTTGAATTCGGTAACCATTCCATAGATAATCACTTTGGAGTTTTACATCAGAGACTTCTTCACCTTTGTGATGATTTCATTGTTTTGTTTTAAGGGTCCACACATATTTTCTTTAGCTTTATATAAAAAAGCCTTAAATAAAAGTCAATACCCATTCCTAATAAAAATGATTACAAACGCAGGAATGAAAGTTGTGGCAGACAGCTTATAAGATGGTTTCCACTGAACTTCACCACTTGGCATTCATGGTAGTGTATAATAGCCTCTCCCCTCAAGTATGAGCTAGATGTAGTCATTTGCTTCTGGTAAATAGCATATGGCAAACTTTATGCGATGTTAATTCCAATATTAGATTACAAAGAGACTGTGTGACTTCTTCTTTGCACACCCATCCGTCTTTCTTGTGTGCTCATTCTGCTAGAAAGCATACAGTAAGCTACCCTAAAGAAAAGCTACATGGCAAGGAACTGAGGGAGACCTCTGGCCTGAGGAAGCCCGTCAGTTACTGTACGCAACTGGATCCTTCCAACAACCATGCGAGTAAACACAGAAGAAGATTCTTCTTCAGTTGAGCCTTCAGGTGAGACCAGAGCCCTGGCCAACGACTTTAACTGAAGCCATGTGAGAAACCTTGAGAG